ATTTTGTAGTAAAGTAACGCTGTTGTTTGACTTCACGACCACTTCCTACATAAACTGCCAAAATCATTGTAGTCTCATTGAAAACTTCGCTGCAAATGTAACCATAGCATGGAACAAACTATCGCCATGATGTAGCTGCCATAAATTATAAGAAAATATCATATTAATTTTCCCAGTTTTTTTTCTAAACTACATCTGGAATTAGGCATCGAAAAGTATTTTGGCCCTTTGGTCCAATACCTTTAATATTTGTGAGGCAAAAATGCTCGCTCGGTTCTCTCCAAACCATTGGTACCGCAAAGCGCATTTTACGATTGTCGCCTCTTAACCAACCTGTTAACAATGTTACACAAGTCTTAAAACATATATGAGGGGTCCATAGTTTATCTTGGTTATCAACTTTAATTTCAAAATAAAGTTCGTCTGCTTTCAACACAAGGGGAGTAAAACTACGTTTTTGGGATTTAAAAGTTAGCTCTCCGCACACATAACAAAAACTGTTCGCACTGTATACACAATTTCTAGGCATTGTCCATAATGTTAGTCTCTATCACAATCAACTATAAACAACACAACGTTTTAACAAAAATTAACAGTACTCAGAACATCTCAGTACTTTTCAACACAAAAAGCATAAGTGACTCGGCTGCTATCAGTCTACTAATAAACGCAATATGCTCTCTAAATATAGAGTTCGCATATAATAAACAGGAATAGACAGGTATTAACATTATATATGTGCGTCATAGCATAAGAAAGAAATGCAGCAATATGAGATGTTACGTATTGTAATTCATAAAAGTAGATGATACCGAATATCTGTGGGCGATAGAAAAATTCTGTTTTTAGATTTGATTTAAGGGTCTCAAAATACATAAGATACACCCAAAAATTGTCACGTCATAAATCCTGTGATTATCGGTGTAATTGGCTACGGCCAAATGATGTGATGCTACGGGTTTGGACAGCTTTCCACAGCTATCACTAGGAAATGTTGCGGCGTTTGATTCTGAACCACAGTACCTAATGAAAACTTTTTTGTGAGCACTCTGAGTAAAGGTTCGAGCAATCCCGGGAATCAAGACTGCTACCTGTTGCTAGAAATTTGTAATGATTTGTCTTTTCCTTGATAGTAGCGGTTCACAAGTAAATTGAAGTATCGACGATAACGCTGTGTTAAAACAACACATCCTCAGACATTATAGTAAGCTTCGAGGATTTCCATCCATTGTTCCATGGTTTAACACTTCATGTCATATTTCTCAACACTTTGCTACCCAACCCTAGAAAAGGCAAACTTGGAGAAATGGCTGTATTACGAATAGTTCAAACTACGTCGTTCGTGTTGCGTTACCCTGAATTAGCTCTAGCAGTAATATTAGCAGTCACTGATGAGAGCAGATCTCAACACTGATTTTACTAGAATCTACAGTAGTAATTAAGTTCAGTAACACGAATTAAAAAAATTGTTTTCAATAGTTTTGGCTTTCGATGCTTTTTCTAAATACTGACATACGACAGGGCTATCCAACTTAATGTGGCCCAAGGGCCACTTAAAAAAAAAATGCAGTTTGGAGGGCCGCATTATAAAATCTTTCTATACAACATTATTACTGAGTTTTAATAGGTATACGCATATTCGGTATTTGAGAGTAATTTATACTTGTGATGTATACATGACCGAGAAGCGGGCCGTATGTTGAACAGCCCTGACATACGAGATACATAATGAACAAAAAAGTTCACAGAAAACCTCTAGAATGACTACCCCCTACTAGTATGTCAGATCAAATCTTCGGCTTATAGAGTGACAAATACACATATGTGTAGCAACAATATATTTTGTTAACTCACATACAGATTTTTATGCTTTTTAGGATCTTTAGCATTGTTGAGTGGATTACTGCGAAGCAACAACCTGAGATCGCTTCATGGCAAAGAGAAGTTTTGTCCAAATGTCGAACAGGCCATAAGTATGGTTCTCAGTGTCCTATCCAATAATATCTGTGTGTTTCTGTTGAAAACTCACGGTCATGTACGGTAAGTTGAATTAAGAAGCTGTGCAAGCAATGACGGTAGTGAATTGATTTGAAATGTCATTCTGTGACGAATAAATTGAAATTCTGCCAGAGATATATTAGTAATAACCACATAATCATTATATGGTAGTTTTAAACGGTTTTCTGTAGACCAGTAGATTTCGTGAGTGATTTTAGCTAAAAAGAAAGGTACTATTAAAAATTTTGGTCAGGCTGAATCTTCAATACGGATCAATATTTCGAGAATTGTTAAAATACCTCTTTAGTCCAATGCTTAAGCACTTAAAGTTTTGCAATATATTTTGGAAACGCAGTCTATAGAGTGGAGAAAAATTAAGTTCAGCTTTAATCATTGTTTAATATTTCAGCTATGATACGAAATCGTATCGATAGAGATTTACGGCATGTGATATCTGTGTTTGGCAAGAATCTCTATTGTAACTTTGACATGTCGGATACGGCGTTACCAGATATCTCGCCTGACTTCCAGTGCTGAATTTCTAAATACTAAGCGGAATTGGGATCATGTTTGCAGGATGGTAGTGGAGAAGTATATTTTTCTGAATATCCTATAAAGCGATTGTTATAGCACATTTATTTTCCGTTTTTCTCCTTTATAGGTAATTTAACTAAAAGCTGATTAGGTCTTAACCCTATGTTTATAAAGCTAAGTTTATTGATATTCCACTTTTTATGTGCTTGGTTTACTGCCGTAACGTTTAAGATTGCCTATGAAGTGACCCTAGTATCATAAAATTGAACAACGATTAAAAGAAATGCACTGATGCTACAGTTAGTTTTACAATGGTTTACTGCTTAATGCGGTAGTATAAATAAGCAATAAAATCGTCGATGTCCATTGCGGTACAACTGGAATCCAGGTCATTGAATTGCTAAAAAAACAGAAGCACTACCTTTGCTTTTGGAGATATATACAGGGCGTCTCCCAATATCAATAATGAAGGGGAGATTTTTGAATATATCTTGAGAAGAAAGGCTGCTAAATTAAAAAAAAACATTTGTTGTTATCTGTAATAAGCACTTTAGATGCTAATGATTGTTCATCCAACTACAAGGTTTTCATTCAAACGATAATGGTAGCGTGCAATAAACATAATATACCGAAAAAAGTGTACACTTGTGCTTCGGTTTTAATTATATGAATACAACAAATCGCCTTTAAGTCAACCATATAAATTTGCATCAGTTTATTATCAAATAATATATTGATTTTTAAGATGAAATTTGACTAATAATTTTATTTAGTCTAGGAATTAGTGCAGATGTTTCCTTGAATCGCGTTTGATGGTTGTGGCTCATAGAATGTAACAATTTTGGATTTTTGTTCAGTAAATTATTGTATGATAAAAATACATTTGCCGGCAGTCGAAAAGCTGAGATTCACTGTAAAGATTTTCTGCGGCATAGCATTTTCGTTCAACATAACCTTCAAAATCCACTTCTGCGTAATTTCAATTTTTTTATAAATAACGACTTCCTCCATGACGAAATTCCATACGGTAGTAATTATTGAACAAGGGCATGATATATCATGTGTAGGTATTTTTCGTTTAAAAAATTGATGAAATGTTTGATTTCCGGAATGAGGTATCTTGATTTTCTTATTAACTTTTCAACGTAGGTGCTGGACGTTCTCTGACTGTCGAACGCAAAGGTACCAACAAAAACGTGTATATTCCAGCTTAGATGGTTATCTATGAATATCCCTAAATATTTGACATTTTCAACCGATTGTATGCTGTTGCAGCTATTCAACGTTTTAATTTGGGGTTGATTGAAATTTAGGAAGATCTGTCGTTCCAAAAAAAAGTTATAAAATATGTTTTGTTGAAATTGACTGTTAAAATAGTTTTCGTGAAAAAATTTCTAACCGTTTAAAAATCTCATACAATTTTGTTTTTTGAAGAAGCCGAATCTCTGTCCGAGTATATAATTGCTGTATCGTCTGCGAAACCAATAACTTCTTCATCTTTTTTAATCTAAAAAGGTCACTAATATACAAATTAAACAGCATTGGTCCTAATATGGTTCCTTGTGGAACTTCTCATCTAACTGTCATATTTTCATTTCACTGTTAATGTTCACACATTGTTCCACGAAATCCTAAATTTTCCAAGGTTTTAAATTATTTTTTTTGTGTGTAATGCTATCGAATGCTTTGATCAAATCAAAAAAAAGGCATGATATTTTATACACATTTTGGTACACAACTTCTATTCATCAGGAGACATTTTTTCAACGTATACAATTTTTCTAATTTCCACTAGTGGCGATGGTACAGAATTTCGCGTGCCTATTTTCTAAGACCTTGATAAGCCACTGATTTCTCTTGAACCTAGTAATTTCTGAGCTAATTTTTCCAATGCACGGTTTTTGCTTAAAAAAATTAAAACCGCTTTTCCGCATGTTCATAGCAATGTCATTTATTCGACAATGAGCCGGATTCATAAAACAAAGGATATCCTTGTATGTACTTGCAAATTTTGAAGGAAATCCTCCAGATGGTAATTATAATAATTTGTAGTAAATGCTTTTGCGTTTTGAGTATAAGCATATCCTTCAAAGCAGTGACATAAGTAAAAGGATATTCATAATCTTCACCTTATACTTGGCATAGGAAGCAATTCTGAGTGTGGTCAGTAACAGACTCAACTTCGCAACGAAAGGTGGTCAAACGATGATGGCGAACATTGTGGATGTTAGGGATGTTAAAACGAACAAACCTCGTTTACCTTCACTTAGTCAAAAAATTATATCGGTTCGACGAAGCAAATTTACAATGGCTTGCGGACAGATTTTTAGTTGAGAATGAGGAAACTTGAAGAGAAGCAGCTTCATGTATTCATAAAATGAACATGTCTACGCTATCTCGGTGACCCTGGATATCAACAAGGTATTGGTCAGGAACTTGGTGTTAGTCAAGCAACGGTATCTCGGACTATGGATAGAGTTGTGAACAGCATAGTTGCACAGTCGAACGAATGGATCAAGTTTCCAAATACCAACCATGAACTGATGAAGGCCAAGCGGATATGGCTAAGCATGTATGAATTTCCAACAGCAATTGGTGTAATTGATTGTACACATATAGGAATTCTGATACCAAATCGCCATGGAGATGAGTATATCAACCGAAAAGGGAAATCTACTTTAAATGTGCAAGCCACTTGTGACGCCAGAGATATGTTCACAAGTGTTGATGTCAGTTGGTCTGGATCAGTGCATGATTCCAGAATCTGGAGAAATTCACAGACTAGATCACAACTAATAAATATAGCAAATGTTGTACTACTTGGCGATGACGGTTATGGTATTGAGCTATGCCTTATGACTTCGTTCAGAAATCCTACTCCAGGTGCAGAAATAAATTACAATAAGCTTTTAAAACAAGAAAGAGTTATAATTGAACGCTGTTTCGGCCAACTGAAACGCCGGTTCCTATCCTACAGTATGTTTGCTGCGTAAAGTTGGAAAATGTGCCGAAAATAATTATTGCTTGTATTGTACTCCATAATGTTGCGAAGAGCTTGGGCGATCCTGACTTTGAGTTAGGAAATCATGACAATGACGAACTTCCTCACCGCCAACTAGGTCAACAAATAAGAAGAAACTTGAGTATTATAATAAATAGTTTTACTGATTAAAGTGTATTTATAAGTTATAATAAGTTTTATTTCCGTTAACATCATAAGTTACAGGTGGTTTCTGACGCTGCATCATTTCTAATTTCGTTTTATAATACTTTTGTTGTAAAATACTTGTTTGGTACTGCCGTAATAGCACTAGACGTTGCAATTCTTTTGTATATAGTTAACCCTTTGGTTTCGTATTTCTCTGTTGCTAGTTTTCTTTTTGCTCACTGCGCTCGGTATATAGTTCACTTCCTTCTTCTTGAACATTGCCAACCTGAACGGCACCTCTAATTTCCCCAGTTGTAGGATTACAGTCACCTTGCATAGCTTTTAGCAACTTTCTTTCCCAATCTAACAATTCAATTGCTTTATTACCAGTTTTTTTTTAGATCTGCTTTTTCTTCAATCTTGATTACATGTTATTAATTTTTTTAGTAAGCCTTTAGTATCTATTGGTTTACCGAATGTTGACTCGTATTTTTTCATCATTTTCTTCAAGGCATCGTCCTTTCTCATTTTTAGTTTTGGAACTTGTGACTTTTGCAAAATAAAGGGAGCAAAGGCAACTTCATCTGCGATGAACTGCAGTTGGTTGCCATTATTTTCTATAGTTTCATCATCACCTGAGGATGACATGCTTATTAATTTGATAAAAAAATGTATCCAGTAAAAGTACGGAACGGTCTGTGTAATCTCTGGAGTACAAATGTCAGTGATGCTGAGTGAACGAACTCCCACGTCAACTACAAGCTGGAACAAGTTAGGACATGTCGCTCAAGATACAAATACCAGTCAACCTTTTACTTCTTCTTGGAGGATATCCTCTAATTATGAATATGAAAACAAGGATAGCTTATACTTCTACCTATTTCTCCGAAGCAAGACCTCATACTTTTACCTTATGCTTCCGAGGATATGCCTCTTTTATGAATACGGCTCATTATCACCATGCACAGAGCTAGATTTTGTTTTTTCATGTTAGGACCGTGGGACAGAGATAAAAAAAATTTAGAGATCAAATCTGCCCATGGATGCCATTTTTTTCAATTTAAAAATGCCAGGGGCTTGCCTCTGATTTATTTTTGAAAACTTTACCCCCCTCTCAGAACTTGAGACATTTAGGACATACGTTCGTAGGAAGTTTTCTTCTTAAGATGGACCAAGATTCGTTCTAAAAACCGTAGAAATACAATTTCTCTCTTATATACTGAACATTTCTTTAATTTGGATGCAATTTTGATAGGGTAAACATATCCTTAGACAACAAAACCGTAAGTTTTGGACGTACTTTTCACCTAACGAAAGAGCCCGCCAACCTATCAATTTAGATGGAACATTGTCACTATCTCGATAAGGAATATTTTATAAAGTCTAAGTTTTTCATCTTGTTAACCGGCAGAGAAACTGAAACGCTGGTGTAACATTCGTGCTCGGGGTGTGTCCTTGAAATTATAATGTTAAACATTATTTATATTATCGACGTGATCTAACCTTTATGTTTATCACACTTGAGCGAGAAGGCTTGAAATAATTATGGCGTGCGAAGCACATATTGAACTTGAGCTAGTTGTGACGTTCTGAGAAATTGCGTTTCCTAACTACTGCAGGACGCACGCTATAAAACAAGGCAGCGGGCGTTTTCTGGAGAACGCTTGGAGAAAGCGAAGACGTCGCAATTGTTGGAGAAATTTTCTGAATAATTTTTTAACAATCACATTTGATGGATGTCGTTTAACATGAATCAAGAGGTTGCTGTTTAAAGATTTTTTCGAGCAAATTGCAAAAATATTATTCTCACTTCGGAAAAAGCTTTTCTAATTTTTTTTATAATCATTTTGTAAATAGACATTTAGTTTCTCTAAAGCTCACTGTTTTCGAGGTTTTAAGCTCTATACTATAACTATCTAAAACTGTAATGACTCATCGATGTTCACGTGAGCATCACTTAACTACCAGTAGTCGGCTGTTCATAGGCGGGGTATGAATGTTTAACATGGGTGAACTAGATTTGTCACATGCTTAATAAAGAGTGGTTTGAAACATATTGTAAGTAAAAAATTTGGGAATTACCTTTATTCATCGTCGCTTCCACTTACATCTGACAGTAATAAACTGTCGCTATCGCTTTCCTCGTTGAAATTGACTATAACTGGCTCTATGATGGTGTCGATGTGGTGGTCAAGCTGCCGCATTTTTATTTCTTCCTTCACAACATGACGGATAGCATTCTGCCAAGCTTCGGGCGTTACTAGCTGTATGGAAGTCTCAAGTAAAACCTTAACGTCTGGTAATTTGAAGGTTGTGTTATGGCGCGCAATATAACCCTTCACTTGAGCCCAGATGAGCTCTGTTGGGTTCAGTTCACAGTGGTAGGGCGGTAACCGCAGCACAGTGACACTACATTGACGGGCCATCTCATCAGTCACGTAACTAATGTTCGCAGGTTTGTGCTGTTTAATTTTTTCATACAATTCCGCTTTCACACATGAATCGTCAAACGGGATTCCTTTTTCGCGCAATCATTGCTGCATGTCACTTTTTCGAGATCCCATAGTCGGTACACGTTCGGCTCGACGACTATGGTAGGAAGCATTATCCATGATGATCACAGAGTTGGGCTCAACTCGCTGAAGCATCCCTTGAAACCAGCTCTCGAAGCAGCTGGTATTCATTTCGTCATGGTAATCACCTCCTTTCTTAAAGACGAAAATCAAGTCACACTCTTCTAAAAAGCCACTATCGCTACCAATATGAGTTATGATCAATCTTTGACCTTTCCCTGACGGTCCACAAAGACCTGTTGACAAACCTTCAATGCTTGCTTGTCGGTTACTCACTACGTTTTTGTCTATCCAGGTTTTTTTAACTGTGTGACCTGCATTTACCCATGTCTCGTCCAAATAATAGATTTTTCTGCTTTGTCGCCTATATTCAATCATTTCGCGTAGGTATTTTCGACGCCAGGCGACTATTTCAGGTCTCTCTATCAATACTGACTTCCGATTACGCGTTTCGTAACGAAAATTAATTTCGTGCAGGGATTTCCTCTTTACCTCGACGCTCATTTGGGGTATAATTTCATTTTCCTTGATCGCTGCATGTACAGCCTTGAGGGTTGGTATCTCATTCCTAAAGAAGAATGAATGTACGGTTCACCTTAACACCATTTTGCTATCGTCATCCAATTTAACGGCCTTTCGTCCCTTCAAATTAAACTTTGGATCAGTAGTAGCTCCAGTTTTCTTCTTTTCATGCACCACCCTGCGAATGGTCTACTCTGGAACGCCTGTCATACTTTCACAACGCGCGAGTGCATCTCCCTGCGACATAGTTGTGTTCAGATAATTGAACACGTTGAGCACGATTTCTTTCGCGTCCCTCTTCAGTGCTTTACGAAGCCGTCTACTTGTTCCCTGACTTTCAGTACTTCCACTCGTGCCATTTGTGCTCTCCATGGTTAAGTATAACCAAAACAGTAACCACAGAAACCACAACAATAACAATCACACAACAATTCTTATAAAACCACACAATATGCGATCGCTCAACGAAACACGTTCCAATGCGTTGCCGACGCCTATGAGTCTGCCGGTCGAGGCGCGTTTTTGATTTCATTGGTTCTACCGGCGGAGAACAATCAGCCATTGTTTCCATCTCTGTCTGTGCTGTTGACCACCGCAAAGCCACAGAAACGACATATGTCGTACGCTATACGGCTGTACTGGAAGGAAGCCGGGATCGAGCTCTGATCACGTGTTGATCACGCGTATGAGTCATTACAGTTTTAAATAGTTCTAGTATACTAATGATCCGTGGGAATCACAGTGTGCGCATTTGGTACAAATTTGACCAATATCAAGGCGTTTGTGAAGTGGTAGATCTAATACGGTCAATTTCTTGTAAAATGCCTCTGAAACTAAAGAAAAATTATACGATTTGTGTCAGATGAGCCGCTCGTTCCCATATTTAATCAAGAAATGCTTCATAAATCACCTTTTTTATCTACAAAAACCTATTTTTTAATTTGAGCATGTACAATAAGTTTCTGGCAATGGCACAACTCCACCAATCCGAAGCAAGTTTCACAAGCAAATAATATAACAAAATCAAAAGCTAACATAAATACCAGAAAAAAAAATGAACAAAGATATGATATATTAGGAGATTTCAACAATTATTTAATTAACTTGTAACGATGGTAAACCTATTTTTCTCCTTCTGCTTTCTTCTTAACGAGTTCTGTGAAAAGACACATCGGGTAAATATTCAACTCACTTGACTATCATGCGAAATAATCTTTATTTCCAACAACATACGTTTCTTGCATACCTTTAATATACGTAAATAGGATAATAACAAATAATTACCTTATAAATAAATTACTCGAACACAGACAATATCAACAAATAACATTATATGGTAACTCAATGTTCATCATGGATTAATTATTGTTGCAAGAAGAACCGTGTCGGAGCCAAGGCCAATCTCTTGGGAACACCCTCTTTACCTTGCGAGATGAAGAGGAGATCCCGTCAATCACGACGGATACCTCGCGGCCAGAGAGAAAGTGAGCCACCCACCTGCAAAGCCTTTCTGGGAGGTCATGGGATGGAAGTTTGCATAAGAGGGCAGCGTGCCACAGCTGACTGAACGCTTTCGTGATATCAAAACCAACGACATAAGTATCACCGTAATACTGGATTGGCTTACACCACAATTGCGTGACGTGAGCTAGGTGGTTCCCGGTGGATCGCTGGTGTCGAAAATCATACTGATTGTCGCTAATTAAGCCAAGACGTTCGAGGTAGTCCAGAAGCTCACGATTTATTCACC